ATCCTCTTCCTCCCCCTCCTTTTTAATTACCGCACACTTAAAGTTTTTCAACTGCCAACAAACAACCGGTGAGGGATGGGAAGTGACATGGAGCCATTTTCCTTGATCAGACTTTCACAGCAACACCATGTGAATATATATATATATATGCCGAGGATTGTGTCAAATGAGATGGTAAAATGTTAAAATAAATCATAAATCAGCGAGGGATTACTATTTACCCAGCATAGTTTTGGCTTGTCTGATCAACACTCAATCAAATTTGAATTTTCTCTTCAGAGTAATCAACAGAATATTTTTTTCTCTAAAAACGTCAGAAAATTGTGAAATTGGTTATTGCAGGGTCGAAAACCCAAGGTAATATATTCTAATGCCCCCAAAAAATCAAAACCATAGTCGGCTTATTATCACATATAATAAAAAAAAGCCAGCAAAGATTCAGATTTAAAACTAGAGGGGGCTGGAACCACTCTGCTTTATTTCCCTTCAAGTATTTGGCAGTGGGAAAGCAGACTTGGCTGGACCAATGTATAAACCATACATATTAGAGTATTTATAGCATCTATTAATGGCAAGTGTATTAAAAATGAATGGCCTGTGAATGACAGCAGAAAAAATGGAGAGTGGGATTAGATGAAATGGCAACGCAGAACAGGCAAGACTGATCTCCTCTTTCAGCAGAGGCGACTCCAACAGAAGTACCTGCTAAGCAAATTTATTTCACTCCACTTTAATTCTCCTGGCCTCTCTCTCTCTGTTTCCCTCTCTCTCTCCGTCTTTCTCTCTGTCACTTCCTTGGAGCCCTTTCACAATAATTCCAAGACGAGCACTTTCCCCCCTTAAATCACATCCCTTTATTTGCAAGCCCAACACTTTTTTTTAAAGCGGGCTTTTAAGAAATTAATCTGGATGTTGAAAAACACTATTGCTAATACCTCCACAGACACGGAGAAAGCAATCCTGACTATTGAGCGGGTGGTAAATTGCCAATTAGAGGGTAACGTTGTACTGCAAAGGCCTATATACATTCAATGGGGGCTTGCCTCTGTTGTAAGACTACCCGTCAGTCAAACAGCACCTGGGGCAATTTTGTATTTCATTAAGTCATAATTAATGAAGGTAGGTATTATTCCCTCCCATGGGGACAGGGAGACTAGGCTTCCATTGTGAGCCCCGTTCTCATTATGAAACCATATTTTCTAAAGGAGTGGTTGGGCACTTATTTCAGAACAGATTTTAATTATGGACCCTGTCTTCATGTCACATTTGATGAGCTGGGCGGCAGGTAA